CTATTCCTGTCACACATAAGATACATCATTAACTGCTAAAAGAAAATTTCAGCTAATTGAAAAAATGAGATGCACCAAGTTTATTTCAAAGCCATATATATCTAAAATCCCTTACAACTGTGTAACAGATCAACAACTGAAATATAAGGAAACAAGGCATTAGTGATGCACATGCTCCAATGAGACCCCGATATCATACAAGGTAACACGCCAAACTATCATTTTATCTTCCAAAATGCATCTGAAAGCTTCTTGATCTACCACACAAAATACTCCAAGATACCAAAGGTAACCCGGAAATTTATCTCTGAGATTTCCCCTATAATTCCTCTGTTTTAAGTATTCTTTATGTTTAAGGGAATGGTTGGCGACCTAAATTACCAGACACCCTTCCTCCACACACCCTGGTCCAGGCCCTCGAAATGTCCCTGGACCTAAGCCCAGAGTTTCTCTTTTCCATCCAGAAACGGAAACGATGTTCTAATTGTTGTCACCATGAAACTGAACACAGCACAAGTAGAAATTTCACCTTCGTTTCATCCTCTAAACAGACAAATCAGGTCCTGGATTAATTAAGCAGGTCTAACTGCCAGTTCCAGGGTGAAACCACGGCCCCACAGGGACCATCCGCTGGTGCCCCTGCACCCCTCCTGGTACCTTGAGCTAAAATGAGTTGTGATCCTCTTAAGGGTAGGATGCCTGTCTCCACCTGCAAACAAAATGAGTTTTTCACTTAAATCGTTTTCAATGTAAGAGTAAATAAATCTGAGCCTTCAATTAAGTGGCCCAGTACAATTCTGTTCTTTTGCCTTAAATTGTTCGAAATGCTGTATTAACTGAAAATAAGCAGGAAGCAACCCTGAACTGAAAATAAGCCGGAAGCATCCCTACTTATTAACTGAAAATAAGCAGGAAGCATCCCCGCCTAATTTTAATTAGCTGCAATTTTCTTTTAGCAGTGCAATGCTGATGATCCAGTCCTAGTGGAGAGAAAATGACCTGCGGCCCAGAGGAGTAGAGGGCCCAGACCCGCTCCTTTCCTGGCCCCGCCCGGTTCCCACAGCCTAGACCGCACCATACCAGCTTCCACCCTCCCATCCCGCCCTCTTCCACCCCTTTCCCATTGCCCAGACCCCACCCCAGGGCGGCTTCCACCGTTCTCACCCCGCCCCCTCCCCACTGTCCAGGCCCCGCACCCACAGTAGTTCCACCGTCCTACCCAACCCTCTTCCACCCCTTTCCCACTGCCCAGACCCCATCCCACGGTGGCTTCCACCCTGGTCCCTTGCCACTGTCCAGGTCCCGCCCCCACGGTGGCTTCTACCCTTCCCACTCCACCCCTTCCCAACGCCCAGGCCCTGCCCCCACGGCGGCTTCCACCCTCCCACCTAGCCTCCTCCCCACTGCCCAGGCCCCGCCCCACAGCATTTCCACCATCCCACCCGACCCTCTTCCACCCCTTTCCCATTGCCCAGACCCCACCTCACCCTCCCTACCTGGCCTCTCACCACTATCCAAGACCCGCCCCTCGCTGGCCACAGCCTCCACCCAGAATCTGTTTCCAGTTTTCTCACCTGCAGGAGAGCATCCAAACCTGCCTTTCAGGGCACTCCACCCCGTCCAGCCACACTAGGAATCCACCATCCCACCAGACCTTAAAATCTCCAGGCGCGCCCACGGGATTGGTAGCGAGTCCCAGGGTTCCCGTGGGAAACTCTGAGACCTGGTGGCTCTGCAACTTTTCTATGATTTGAACCCTCTGCTTGATTTGGAGACTGGATTGCTCTTTTTAATACTCCCAGTTGGTGGCTGGTGTGCTTCCCAGCTGTCTGCTGGTTTGTTCTCATGAGAGATGACTCCACAGTATCTAGTGTTTGCTTTGCATAACGGATGAGGAATACAAAATGCCTTAATCTAGTGAATATATAAATTGTCTGTTTATGCACCCTGTTCAGTCGTTTATTCACTCGTCTCCCGTGGAATCCTAAGCACAATTATAAAAGAATCCCGTTACACGAGATCAGTGTCTAACACAGATAAAGCCTCTGTCTCAATAACACTAAATAATAATAGCAACATTAAATGAAATATTAGTATTGCTAAAATGGGGGTGTAGTAAAAATTAAATAAGTAAATAATTAAAAATAAATGACATATCGCCAGGCGCGGTGACTTATGCTTGTAATCCCAGCACTTTGGGATGCTGAGGTGGGCGGATCATATGAAGTCAGGAGTTCAAGACCAGCCTGACCAACATGGTGAAACTCCGTCTCTACTAAAAATACAAAAAAATGACCCAGGAGTGGTGGCTCATGTCTGTAGACCCAGCTACTCGGGAGGCTGAGGCAGGAGAACTGCTTGAACCCGGGAGACAGAGGTTGCAGTCAGCTGACATTGCACTACTGCACTCCAGCCTGGGAGACAGAACGAGACTCCGTCTCAAAATGAATGAATGAATGAATGAATGAATGAATATTAGGCCATTTTTATGGCCTTCACATTGGGAGACTGATGTATGCAGGACTTGTTTGTCCTTGGGGTGGTCTTTATTGTGAGAAGAGAGCTGAGCAGGACCAGCTGAGGGGCAGAGCCAAGGACCCTTCACGGAGACACTCTGCTCGCCCAACAGGTGGAAGGGCAGGCGTAAGTTCACCCCGAAACACATCTGGCTGACTATGGGATCGTTGTCTGAGGCTGAGCAGACCCACTTGGCCAATAAAAGACCCTAAACTCTGCAAAAAGAAGAGAGACCTCTCTGTGCCCAGACCCCTACACAGAAAAAAGGTCCTGGGGTCTAAGATTTCTCACTTGCCACTGATGTTGGCTTGAATATTATTCCCACCCAAATCCTTGGGTCCTGTGTGGGACAAACTGACCATAGACATGCAGGAAGTGAGAGTCTGAACAGAGCAGCAGAAAGGCAGGCAGAAGACTTGAGGGAGGGGAGAAAGGAGAGACACAAACAGACCAACCCCTCCTCTTCCTCAATCACCCGCCTGGGGAAGCATTAGTTTCCCATCTTAGAGAGGACAGTGGGGAAAGGGAGAAGTGTGTGCATAGGGTGAGATGTGTGTTGGGCGGACAGAAAGACTCCTTTCCCTAAATGTGACCCCATTAGCTCACCCCATTCTATTGCACAAATTCCTGAGCAGAGGGGCACCCTGTGGGGATGAACACAGCTCTTCCCCCCTCCGGTTCCTGACTCTCCCTGCCATGACCAGGGCTGTAATCCTCCAACTCTCTTCCCAGGGCCCCGTGGCCCCTCTGCACTGGAGAAAGATCCGTGTTCCACAGCCGGTCTCAAGGACCTTGCCCCTCAGCTCCCCAGCTGCCCTGTGACTCTGTGATCTTGGAATAAACAGGGAGAGGCCATTGGCCTGGCAGCAAGAATGTGGCAGCTCTATCTTCCCAAGGACAGTCCCAGTGGAAGCCTGCGGGCTGCAGCTCAGTGTGCTGTTTCGCCCTGATTCTTGGAGAAATCTTTCCCCTGCTCTGGGACCCTGACAACCACTCCCTCTTGAGTCGCACCTATAGATGCCCCCACAACAAACCCTCCCTAATGAAGGCCATCTGCGCCTGATTCTTAGGCCCTGCGTTGCTCTTCTGGACCCAGACATGCTTATAAACTCCCACACTCCTCATATACTTCATAAAGATCCCACATTCCCCAGATACTTCATAAAGATCCAGAAGCCCTGTTATGAAATCTCACAAGCCCCAGACACTCATGGAATAATATACACAAACACCCCAGGGACTCGCTGACCCAGGAAAACGTATTTCTACTCATAGTGACTCCACCCCACATGGAAATACCACTAAAACCTACCAATAAAACAGAGATGTCTCTCATGATGCAATGCCCCAATTAGACTCCAGCACCATAAAAGGAAACACTCCAAATGATCATTTCATCCTCAGAAACGCAACTGAAAGTCTATTGACTTGCAACTGGAAATACCCCGAATGCCAAAGGCAACCCAGAAAATAATCTGCGATTCCTCCTATCTTTCCTCTATGGGTTTCAGGAGGGTTTCTGCACTTCCCAAAGCCTCCGCAGAAATCACCCTGTGGAGCGGATGCTGTGGAGCAGCTCTGGGATCCACACCCAGGCCAAGGTACCCATCCTCCTGCGGCTGAAGCTCCCTACGGGCTCAGCTTCGGCCCTGGTTCTAAGTACACTTCAGGATGTTTCTCTGCATGATGCCACGGCCTTCAGTCCTCTTCACCGTGATGAGTTTCCCAATTAAACTCCTGGTGCAAATCTCTGTGTCAGCATCTGTTTCCCAGGTAACCTGAGCTGAGACATCAGGGCGTTACAAAATGATCCTGCAGCCCCACAACCACCCCAAAATCCACTTAGCCAGACCTAAGACTTCTTTCCAAGTGTGCCACACACCCCGTGAGCCCGCAGCCACGCATGGGCCGGGTGCATGCAGCATTCATCCAGCTCCTCCAGAGGCTCAGCCTCGCTTCCATGCCTCACTTGACACCTCTAAGTACTTCTTCACTTGCCCCATTTTTCTACTTCTCTTCCAGCCTGAGGAGCACACTGGATGGAAAGGCCTCTGGACACAAGCGATGTGGCAGGAATGGACACTAACGGCTATTTGCAGGACAGTGGGCTTCGAGTGTAGATTCTAGAAGTTGGCCCTGCTGGAAGGAGTTGCCAGCGATTTGGGGACACCATGGAGTCCAGTTTAAAGGCAGGTGAAGATCAGCCGGACTGAGCTGATGGAGGATGTCCAAGAAAAAGAGAGGTCCCAGATCTCATGAGGGAGGCTGCCATTGTCCCGTTGTCTCTCTACTCACAGTCACCTGCAAAATTCCCCTGCTGTTTAGGGAGTGGCTTCTTCATGGCCCATTTAGCTTCTGAACTTCTCGCTGCCCTTCCTGAAGGGAATCCAGGACCCCTGACTCTGAGGACATCACCTGCTGGAAGGCAAAGCCCCTGCCCAGGATGGCCACTGGGCCCTGGTGATGTGCAGAGTGTGGGAGACCCGGGAGCTGGAGTAAGGCAGTAGGGACGCCTCGACACTGGCTGAGGACACAGGGTCTGCGGGGCTTTTCAGGCCTCAGTGAGGCCTTCTGCTCTTTTTCTTTTTTTTTTTTTGAGACAGAGTCTTGCTCTGTCACCCAGGCTGGAGTGCAGTAGTGTGATCTCGGCTCACTGCAAGCTCCGCCTCCCGGGTTCACGCCATTCTCCTGCCTCAGCCTCCCGAGTAGCTGGGACTGCAGGCGCCCGGCACCACGCTCGGCTAAGTTTTTGTATTTTTACTAGAGACAGGGTTTCACTGTGTTAGCCAGGACGGTCTCGATCTCTTGACTTAGTGATCCGCCCACCTCAGTCTCTCAAAGTGCTGGGATTACAGGTGTGAGCCATCGTGCCCGGCCATGCCTTCTGCTCTTATATAGACTGGAATAAATAGCCACAGGAGGTTTAGACCAATTACAGGTGAAATTTCCAGAATATGGGACCATCCTCACTACCTGCCCTATCCTTTTGGTCTTCCCTGAGGACTCCTCAGCCCGACCCCAGCCCCAGCATCTGAATCACCACCCCGGAGGTGCTAGAGTCGTCCTGTGGCCAAGATGGAGACTGCGTCCTCCAACGGAGGGAGACACAAAACACTCAAAATAATCCACGCAGAAAAGTGTCCGATGTGGTGATGGATGCAGAGACAGTGAAACCTGAGTAACGTGATAGAGAGTGATGCAGAGAAAACTTCAGATGGGGATGCAAGGGGGCAGGAGACAGCTCTGAGGCTAGACCCGAAGGAGAAGAAAGGGACAGAGCTGTGATGATCTGGGGACATAGGGTAAGAGGAGGGGCAAACACTGAGACAGGAAAGGTTTTGATGTTTGGGAAAAGAGAAAAGCAAATGTGACTGGGGCAGAGGGAGTCGGGAGATGAGGGCAAGTTCCCAGGAGGAGGCTGGACACTGGCAGGGGCCCTGGACACAGGGCTGTGGAGCCACAGTGAGGAGCTGGGCTTTTGTCCTGGGGAACACGGGAAGCCGGTGGAGGGTTCCCTGCCAGGGACTGACATGACTGCTTTAGATTTAGCCATAACTCTAATGCAGAGAAAGGCCTCTGAAGATGGTCTGACTCTGAGTCTATGCCCTGGCTTCCATCCTTGTGGTTTTAGTTTTGTTTTGTTTTAAATTTTAAAGGACTGAGTCCCATTTAAATTTTTAATTGCAGTGGGCACTCCCCACTTCCTAGAAGAACTGCAAAACACAGGTGGGCACCCAATTTTGCCAAACATTAAGGGGGTCAGTGTTGCTCAGACTGAGGAATATTACTGAGTCTCTCACCTTCATGTTGCAGGTGGGTTTACTGAGGGCTAGAGGGGGAGACGTTTCACCAAGTCATCGAAGTTGAATTAGAAGATGTATCTGACTCTACGACAGCCTCGAAGGGCCAATGGGTAACACTAGACTTTCTCACACCTCCCTGGAAAATTCCAGGATCTTCTTTCATATACCTGGGCAAAAGAAACTTCTCCTTCACGGCTTTATCACACTGATCCCAAACATTTAATTCCTCTTTTCCAGAAACACACGACATACTTATGAAACGCAAAACTGTGAAAACATGGCTATTGGTGTTGAAAACAGTGAAAGACTGTCAGCTGTAGAAATGAACTCTCAGCAAATTTTTTCATGAACACATAAGCTCTGCTGGAATAAAGTTTTGAGGCAATCCGGCCCATCCTTCCACATTTACAGAAAATAGAACTGATTGGCTGGGCGCGGTGGCTCAAGCCTGTAATCCCAGCACTTTGGGAGGCCGAGACGGGCTGGATCACGAGGTCAGGAGATCGAGACCATCCTGGCTAACACGGTGAAACCCCGTCTCTATTAAGAAATACAAAAAACTAGCCGGGCGAGGTGGCGGGCGCCTGTAGTCCCAGCTACTCGGGAGGCTGAGGCCGGAGAATGGCGTGAACCTGGGAGGTGGAGGTGGCAGTGAGCCGAAATCGCACCACTGCACTCCAGCCTGGGCGACAGAGCAAGACTCGGTCTCAGAAAAAAAAAAAAAAAAAGAAAATAGAACTGACAAAAGGGACTTGAGGGGGACATCCACTTAGTAGTTCACAGGTCACTATTTTAACAGATGACATAAGGGAAGAAAACGGACTAGTAACAAATTAGTTAGCCGGGCACAGTGGCTCATGCCTGTAATCCCAGCACTTGGGAGGCTGAGGCGGGTGGATCACGAGGTCAGGAGATTGAGACCATCCTGGCTAACATGGTGAAATCCTGTCTCTGCTAAAAATACAAAAAATGGCGATGGAGTGAGACTCCGTCTCAAAAAAAAAAAAAAAACAAATTAGTTAATAGGTTCTCATGGTAAGGTTTAAAAAAAAAAAAAAGTCATCGATATCTTTACCAAATACACGTTGACACCATCTAAAATCCCTACCGATGGCCGGCGCAGTGGCTCATGCCTGTAATCCCAGCACTTTGGGAGGGATCACTTGAGATTAGGAGTTTGAGACCAGCCTGGCCAATATAATGAAACCCTATCTCTACTAAAAATACAAAAATTAGCCAAGTGTAGTGGCAGGTGCCTGTAATTCCAGCTACTTGGGAGGCAGAGGCAGGAGAATTGCTTGAACCTGGGAGGTGGAGGTGGCAGTGAGCCAAGGTCACACCAGTGCACTCCAGCCTGGGCGACAGAGTAAGACTCCATCTCAAAATAAATAAATAAATAAGGGCCAGGCACGGTGGCTCACGCCTGTAATCCCAGAACTTTGGGAGGCCAAGACAGGTGGATCACTTGAGGTCAGGAGGTTGAGAGCAGCCTGGCCAACATGGTGAAATCCTGTCTCTACTAAAAATACAAAAAATTAGCCAGGCATGGTGGCGCACACCTGTAATCCCAGCTACTCAGGAGGCTGAGGCAGGAGAATTGCTTGAACCTGGGAGACAGAGGTTGCAGTGAGCTGAGATCATGCCACTGCCCTCCAGCCCGCGTGACAGAGTGAGACTCTGTCTCAAAAATAAATAAATATGAATAAAATTACCTACTGACTACCAAAGAGTATTCCCAATATGTGATAAAGAGTAGAAAGCATGCAGACCTCAATCTGAACTCAACACAATTAACTTCGAATGGAAACCATTTTGAATATATATATATTATTTAATATGTATATATTATTTAACTATATGTGGAATTCTACAAAGGGAAAAAATTGAAAATATATCACATTTAGAAAAGAATGACATGAGCCAATATAGGATTCCACAAAAGCTTACTTCAGCAATAATTACATATAGAAAAAGAGACTGAATTAGATAAGCTTTATCTCAACCTTCAACATGAACTGTGAGATGAAAGGTAAATACAAGGCACCAGGCAGTGACAGTCAGTCACGCCTTGCCCCTCTTCACTGCCCCACACCCTACCCCATCCTAAGAAACAGGAAGAGGGAGACCCACAACCGAATGAGGCAAGTCACCGCCCAGTGGCTGAACAGCATGGGCAAATGAAAGCTAGCCTCTGATGCTATAATTATAAAATGCACAAACCTTTTACAGAGCTTTGTAATTCTCATCCCTACATGTAGAATTGAAACAGTAAGGTTACAATTTAAATGTAATACATTATAAATAGAGAAATCAAATTGTCATATCCAATCTCAACTTACCTCTCATCTGGCCCCAGGGCGCCCCTCTTTGTAACTATGTGTTCCTCTCCCCCCATTTTGTACCTCTCACTTTCACCCTGTCTCTCCACCCCTTCTTTTCCCCCTTTTATTTTCCCCCTAGAATTCTGCTGATTTTGTGGCTCTTTTTTCTTCTGCTGTTTCTCCCTTCTTTGTTTTCCCCCCTTATATCTGTTCTACTCCATTCTTGCAATTTGTTTCAACTCTTGTGGCGCTTTCTTCCCAATCTTTTCATCGTCCCAGTCTCCAACTATTTCTGCCTCTTTCTTACCCCATCTCTGCGCCTCCTCTGCTCTCCCTGTTAAATTCCCTCTTCCCTGTTACACCCGCTTATCCTCGCTATCTGGCACTCCCAGACCGAGGCCTCCCCGTGTAGTAGTCCTCCCTCTGCTCGCCTTGTCACCGGCTGTCCCCTCCTGCTGTCCCAGCACCACGCTGCTCTGTCTGCCCTGGCTCCCAATCTCTTCGCCTCTCCCTCACTCTCTTGTCTGAGGAGGCTCCTTCTTTGCTGTCCGTCTCCTTATCTTGTGGTCCTTCATTTGTGGACATCGAGCTCTTCTCTACATTTCGCCAATTGCTTTTCTGCCCCTGCTACTTTCTTGACTGCTTCTTTCACTCTGTCTCTTTGCAAATCCCCCACCCATCCTCCACTTTACTATCTGTTCATAGGTCTCCCTCATTTTTCTTTTTCTCTTTCTTGGTTTTTCCATCTCCTCTCAGTCGCTCTTTGTCTCTCTCCTGATTCCCTGGGGCCACACATTCACTGGAGGGTTTGGAGTAGGATGTCTCCATGTCGGAGGAGTACATTTTCCAGGGGGTGGAGCTGGGCAGGCAAAAACACGGGGTATCACAGGACAGGCCCCGGGCACCTCCCCAACAAGGGCTCAAGGGAAGCGGTGACTGCGAAGGGGAGGCCTGGGGAGCAGCAGGGCCCGGCACGAGGAGGAGGGAGGCGGGGGGCGACGACGCCTTAGGACACGGGTGGGATCTGCAGGATTCCAGGATCAGGCAGAGGCGCGGCCTCCCCGGGACTGGGGCTGCGGCGCTGCGCTCCAGGGGCCGACGAGGGCGAGGCTGGGAGGCGCCCAGGGCAGGCGGTGAGGACTTTAAGCGATGCTGGGCGGGAGGAGGCGTCAGTAAAGGATTTTAAGCAGGAAAATCCTGCTTAAACGTTTAAAAAACCGGGAAAGGCCATGTTTACTTGGCCCGAGGCAGAAAGACCGGGGGCAGGGACCAGCCTCAGGGCGACTTTAACCCAAAAGGAAGCGTCTCCGGGCCCACACCGCAAGGCCTATTTACCTGAGGTGGAGGGTGCGGTGCGGAGATGTTA